CAGCTCAGCCCAGCCCAGCTCCATAGATCCCATCCCTGCGAGCCCATGCCCTGTTGCCCCACTCTGGGCCTGACTGGTGCTGGCCCCAGGACACCTTTGCTTCCACTCCTCCCTGGCCCCCACTGCCACTTCCCCACTTTCCTGCCTGCCCACTGGTTGCTCCTGCACCATGTGGCTCATGGCTGCATGGCCATGATGGTAGGACTCAGCAGGACCTGGCCCAGCCCCAAGAACTGGGACTATCACTTGCGGTCCTCCCTTGCCTCATCCCCCACCGCCTGTTCTTACCTGAATTCCTTCTCTGGTGTAGGCAGGCATGAACAGTCTCACAGTCCCAGGCCAGAAGCCTCTCCTAGGTAGGGGCTTCTGGTTTAGGTGGGCTGGGACTGGGTGGGCCTTGCTGCTGCTGGGTCTTGCCATGGCTTCCCCTTGGTCCTACTGCCCCTGGCTCCTGTCATCTTTGCCAGGGGCAGATAAATATTACTTTTATAAATTTTTTAGGGGCCCTGTGGGCCAGATAGAATGGTCTTGTGAGCTGGATTGAGCCCGCAGGCTGTATTTTGCCCACCCCTGAGCTAGACAGAAGTGAAAGAGCCTAGCTTACAGGACTCTTCTGACTTGGGTTTTGTGCATTGCAGTGACTGTAACAATGTTTCTAATTGTATTGTGATGACTAATAAGAAGATTTCTTAGAACTCTTGAGATTGGTATATAGTATCAAATGACCTCCTGATATTGAATTTTTTGCTTCAATGTCACTTGCAGAAGAAGATCATTTGCATAAAGAAATGAGCTTGGAGTCTTGTCAATGGAAAGTTTGTTTTTTTTTAAACTACAGTAGACTATCCAAAAAGGTTGCAATAAGTATCCTCACTAAAAAGCTGCATCTGAAAAACAAACACCCTCCAAAATGGAACAGTTTCATCATCCCAGCAAAAACCCACTAGTAATCTACAAAAATTCAGGGACCCAACTCACAAGTCTATATTTACTCCTACTGGGCATGCTTCCTGTGTTTTGTATGCTGTCATGGGTCCTCCTTCAGATCTGCAAAAACAGAACTACAGTTGGAAGAACAAGCTAAGATTTGAAGGCATGAGGACAGGTAGAAATAATTGTCCTCTGTTTCTTTTCCTCCCAATTTCATGTAAGCATTATTTCCTTGGGGCAATGATTGCCAAGGATAATTTAGGTAAAAGACCCTTACTTGAAATTAAGGCATACTTATTTAAAGACTATTAATAAAGTTACCAATAACAGAAAAATGAGAAATTCAGAATGAAAGTAGATTTACAGAAAACATCAATCTTTTTTAAGTTTAGATATGACAGCTAAGCTGCATTAACAGTAACTCTCAAATACTTGAAAGACAATAACAATCACACCACTCTTGTGTTTGATGTGACTCTTAGGTAAGCAAATCTAGGCTAAATACAGACAGTCAAAAAGCCCAAGGCAGAATTGATCCATTTTATGGAGGTTTCTCTCAACTGCATATATTGTAAATGAACAGACTCATGTTCAATCTTCCATTGGCCAAGGCAGGCGGATGCCTGCACTGGTCAAGGCCAGAAGGTGGGGGGCTGCTGTACACCTCCCAGCTCTGCTTGGCTGTGATTGCTTCAGCCCTGTCCCTTTGTCAATCCCTCTTTTCCCAGCTATGGAGGGACAGTGGTGGGGAATGAATCCCTGCTCTGTCCTTGCCCTCGCCCCCACAGCTATGTCTGTGCAGTGGGTGGGGGAAGAAGCCCCTGAGTTGGGGGTTTTCCCCACTGGAGCCTGGATTCACTGGGCTACAAATGCCTCAGTAGCACCCCCCCTGCCAGCCCCTTACCTCTCAGCTGTGGGGAAGAATGAAGCAAGGGAGTGTTGGGTGGGGCACTTCAGGGGGGAATCCCTCATCTCAGGGTATTTCACCCCCATTCACTGTGCACACCCCAGCTAGGGTGGGGGGGGTAACGTGGGGTGGGGGGCTCCATTTTTTGCCCCTCCACCTCTACCAGGCTGATAGGGGCAGGCAGGAGGCAGGCTAGGGAGCAGAGGCTTTGTTGCCTCAGCTCTGCGACAGCTGCGGGCAGGCCTGGCCCAGCTCTGCTAGTGAAGACAGGACAGCTGAGGTCTGGAAAGCATCCTGGGATGCAGAGGGACTGTGAAGTAACGTGAGTCAGGAGGGGTCTAGGACAGAATTTTAATAACCTGGTTTAACCTATATTAGTTAAGTGTGATACTACATCCACCCGGATCTTTCTTAAACCAGGTTCAGCCATTTAGAAATTGGTCTGTATGCACTGAACTTCTATTCTGTTACATGTTTAAACCAGTTTCTGATCACTTATACAGATTTATGTGTAATTTCTATCCCTAGCTTTAGAGGGGTTGAAACCTGACTTTTGGTTCCTAAAAACAAGATACTTGTTTGAGCTGAAACATGAGCTAAATAGCCAGGGCCATTAGACAGAGGCAGTAATAGGTTCATTGGCTCATGGCATAAAAGCCATCTAGTCCTACCATGAGTTACACATATGTAACCTTTATTAGCCTTTACAGTAAATTGTATGCAGAGGAAGTATAGTGTGGCTATATGTAATTTATTTGAAGCAAAGACTTCCATTTGTTTAGAAAATGGTACATGTGATAGGATTAAAACCTCATCACATTTGTTGGCTGAAGTTGTTATACTCAGCTGAACAATTTTTGTTGACTTAACTGGTACCTTTTTAGCAAACTGGGACATGCTAAAACTGATCGCAGAGATTGCTTTTATACGTTTCACAGGCATATATGCTTTTTGTCCTATTGTACTGCAATTAGAACAGGGGTTGAAGTGATAAATATTTTACCTTTTCTACCCTGTAACTTCGTCCTCTTTGCCCTGCATATATTGTGCTACTTTCTTGCAGCTTAGAACTCAAGATGTGTTTGGAATCTGCAGTAGAGAGATTTAATAGAGGTTACCACGTGTTTGAGAAACACATGTTGAATAAGGAAATGTGTGAAGTAACAGTAAAGTTGACAGAAACAGTTGACTCTAAAATAACAAAGAAATTTAACCTTTCTCAGACATTGAATTAAAATGCTACTACAATATTTTTTAGCATGCATGGCATTAGGGAGCTAATTAGGCAAAATGAAATTTATTGCCCAAATTGTGTTTAAACGCAAATATCAAATATACAATATACAATGGTTTTGCATGAAAATCAAACATATTTTGAATGGCTCATTTTTTAAATGAATTTTCTTGTAGACTCTGTCATGCAAATTTATGAAAGATCTAATTTAGGCAATCAGCAAGGCACATCATGTAGATAATGGATTTTCTCCATTGGTTATTTTCTCCTGCAACCACACTGCACAGGTACTGATGGCACTGATGATCCTATCTGACTGGGCATCATTAATAGGCTTCCTATGTGGTCTGCATTTTTTTTGGTGGCAGTGGAGTAACAAGCAGAGCTGAAAATCAAGAAATGCAGGGAATTATTCTGTGCTCAGTGGATCAGATGACTGGATAAGAAGTGGTCAGGAAAAACCACTGAGAAGGACTTATATGCTTGTCCAAGTTGTTGGACTGCAGGCCCTGAATGGCTGCAAGCAATTTCCCAGTAGAGTCTCCCAGCTCCGCATCTCCCTGCAGTGCCTAACTTTCTGTGTCTTTAAAACTGTGTCAGATATCAACCCAATCCCACACAACTGTCAGTTCAGATGGCAGTTGACTTCAATCCCTATCTCCCCTTCATCTCACAGCGCAGCCTAATCACAGGTGTCAGTTCAGATGACAGTTGACTTAAAGGTTCCCTAGGACTTCACATACCAGTTGTGGAGGATGATGTCCCTAGTCTCTCCTCTTTGATGAACTTTTCAAGGACCAGTACTACTGAAATGCTGCTGTCTTCTTCTCTGGAGGCAGCAGGACTCTGAGTCAGACCCATGGTCGATGAGCTCTCAGGAGTGGAGGATGACCTAGATACTTTTACTCATCTCGTAGCTTGGCATTCAAGTACTTCCATTAGTGTTTGGAGGTACTGAAAATGTGGTACATTATGCATGGGGGTGCCCTTCTGCTGATCTCCTGCTACTTCAGATTGGAAGGCAACCCTCATATTCTTGGTCTTTACCCTGCATGGGACTGCCATCTTGTTGTGCCCCTACTGGGCAAGTCTCCTGAACACATCCAGGTACATGTGCAAGTTTGCACTTGGGCTGTTGCTAATGCCAACTGGGTTAGCACCTCCAAGTCCCCCATCACCCTCACTAGGCTCTTAGTTTCTGCGTAGGACCAAGTGATCCTAGTCTTATGTGCCCTGGTTGATTCTCTCCTCTCCCTTGTCTACTCTTTTCTCTCTTCAGCATCAGACATCTCAGATCAATACGGGGTACCTGTACCTGGGCCCTCAATTTTTAGGTCTTTTGTTGAGCAGGTCAAGAAAAGTTCACCCCCCTCCAGCCCTCATTTTGGTGGAAAAAGTGTGTACAACAGACATGCTGGTAAGGCAATGAGTGACAAAATGAATAAATGCTGACAAAACTTATGAGGAAAGACTAAGTGATCTGGGAATGTTCAGTCTGGGGAAGCCTGGGTAAGAGAAGATTGAGGGGGGGCTTGGTGGCTATTTATAAGTATGTAAAGGATGAATACTATGAGCTGGGAGAAAATCTGTTCACTAGGGTGCCTCAGGGGAGGATAAAGAGTAATGGCCATAAACTTTTGAAGAATGGTTTCAGGTTGGATGTAAGGAAGAACTTCTTTACAGTAAAGGTGACCAGAATCTGAAATAGACTTCCCAAGGAGGTGGTGTGGTCCCCAACCTCACACCTAGTGAGTGTATGTGTGCTTAATTGATTTTTATGTGTGCATGTGCAATTGTACACCACACCCTCCTGTCTAACAGTGCAATATTGAGATCCTAAGCATTGGCCTGACCCCTCAGGGCAACGTTGGAACCAGGCACTATAAACCTTTCCCAATAAAGAAGGTAGACAGGGATGAGAAATGCATTTTACTAGACCAGAGCACTTATTTAAATGACAATGACATACTGAGGGATACCCACCATTTACAAAGCAGTATTACCAAATAGGAACCCCTCTCCCATCATGTGATCTTCTTTCCAGGCCATTGTGCACCCTCTGTCTGACCCACCCCTTGCTCCCTGGCCCTGCTGGAATTGGGGCACCCCTCTGTCTCAGACAATGTGGGTGGGGGAACAGGCTCAGCTGTCTCACTGCTGGTAACCTTCTGGAAAGAGGTAAGCCTAATCGAGATTGTGCGCACACTGCTGGTGGGGGGACTCACTTATGAATTGGGGGCTTGTTCACATGCTTAAGGACCTGATCCTTAATCATTGTGCATGTCTCCTTAAGGTATGCATGGCACCGTGAGGCTAGCTCAAGAAATTGGGTTGTATGGTCTAGGAGATGCTTTCTGACTTCAATAGTGTTGGCCATGCTTTGCATCTCCTTTGATCAGCTGCTCTAAGCACCTTCTGGACTTTGTCCTGCCAGTCATCCACAGTAGTCAGTGATAATTGCATGGCCTCCACCAAAGCTCCATCATGCTCTCTCTGGAGCATTGCTGCCTGCAGTGGAATTCCCACATTCATTTGGCTTCAGTGCGAGCTGATGTCCACAGGTCAGATGCCCATCATCAGTTTCCATTGGGTGTGGTAGCTGGTAACAGGAATTGGAAAACAAAGCATTCATGGTCAGAGATCTCACCCCCAACTGGTAAATGTTAGGGTGACCATATTTGGATTTTTGGGGAGCACTGGATTTGCAGCGGAATACAAGGCTTTAATCTGTGTCTCAGCAAAAGCTGCTGGTCACAAGGCAAAATGATATATTAAAAATAACCTTGAAAATGCTTAAGTAAGCAGTTTCTTAACAATGGGATAGTATGCAGGATACATGATTCCTTGTGTAAGGAGAACAAGATGCAGCCCACCAGCTATCATCAGGAGACAAAACAGAAGCAAGACCTTGGAGATGAAGAAGGAGTCAGCAAGAAACCAGAAAGAAACAACAAGTAACCGAAAGAAGCAAAGGCCAAAGTCTTATGCATGCACTCTTAGCAGAGAGGCATGTAAATGAAGGAAATGCATAGGCAACTCCATGCTAAACAGTAGTAAGAAGTAAACAGTAAACAGAGGCAGAGCTTGAGATGGGAGGAGAAATGGGTAGAACAGAAGGTGAAGTGAATGTTAATGAGCATGAACCAAGGTGTATAAAATGTGAAAAGAACTAATGTTCAGTGTGACTCCCCGGTTTGTTGGTTTTTGGGAGCTAGTTCGAAGCTGTCTCCATTCTGAATAAAGCTGTTGCGAGCAATGTGTGCTGATGTTTGCTCCCTGCTTGCTCTGGCTAATGAGTAACAGGATCCATGGGCAATTGGATCATTGTCTCCCTAGCTGCTGGACACCACATGGAGTCTGGGTTTAACAGTAAACAGAAGTTTAACCTCCACCTAAGCTACTTGCAGAAACCCCCCAGGAAATCCAAGCCACTGGCATGGAAAGATTGCCTGCCATAGTGGCACAAATAGATATAATGTCCACTCCCCGATGCTCACAAGTCCCCAACCACAGGTTCTTTTGTGTCTCTGGAACAACAACCAATCTTTGGGTATTGGGAACTTCTGACGTGTAAAATGCATCCTGAGGGAGGAAAGCACAGTTCTGTCTGATGAGTTGTCCTCCTTCTCTGAGCTCACTGGCAAACCTATCGGGGAGACTGGGCTCATGTTCAGGGCCACCTCTTCTTAGCTATTCCTGTCCACCAGCAGCTGTGAGCAATCACCCCACACCTCCGACATGTTTCCTGTCTGAGTCTCAGGACAGCCTGTGGTCTTTTGGTTAGGCGTGCTTTCCTGAACACCAGGCCCAAATGACTGGAGACAAGCTTCACCTACATTGTTGGTGAGAATGATGGACAGCTGCTCACACAATGGTACAATTGTGTATGCTGTCTCAGAATGAATTCTTATCCTTGCCCCAATGAAAAGCACATTTCAGGGCCTTGATCTTGCTGTGGCACCGTGTCCAGTCCTGGTTGTGCCCATGCACCTTCATTTCCTTGGCAATGGCCATATACACTGGCTTATTCCATCTACTCTCCAACTGCTCAATGATCTTTTCCTCTGACCAAATATTGTTCAAGTCTTTAAGTTCTTCCGAAGTCCAGATGGGGCTACAGTTTATAGACGTATCAGGTTCCTCCTCCATAGCCTGCATACTGGATTTGTACTTTGGAGACATTGAGAACTTTTTCATGGCCCAAAAGGATTCAAGAGAGGGCTAGTGATGCTGCCAACAGTCACAAGATGATTTTTTGAAAATGTTTTAAGCTGTTATATAGACGTGTATTTGAAGAACCTTTTGCATTCCACGTATGCATACCTGTGAAGGTGTGAACTGTGTCTCAGTACCGGAAGTCAGAGGAATCAGATCAAGTGACCTTTCTGAACAAAGCAATGGTGATATTCATACCCTGGATCAAATCATCCACCATTGTCCAGAAGTATAGATCATAATGGCTCCCTGCCAATCGCACTCAAGCATCTGTGGCTGGCAACTCTTCCTTCATGCACACATCCCATTCCCTCACTGTGTCACCTATCAAATGCTCAATTGTTCTCGGGTTCTATCTAGTCCTGAAGGGAAGGAAAATTCTGGGTTCATACATTGAGTCTTTGGCTGCCAGAACCCCACTTTTCACCACTGAGCAATTGAATAATAGCTATGTGATTGTGGGGGCCACAAAAACTCTAAGAACCAAGTTATGGAGGTGGCAGTGTTAAAGGAGCCTGTTATGTTCAGTAATAGAAATGTAGGATGGGTGTTAATGATGCCCTATTCCAAAACCAGATGTGAGTCAATTATTGACCATAGTGAGTGAGAGAGGACTTGATGGTTCTGGCACTTTGATGCCTGGCATAGATGTTGATGTGCTAATAGGAGCTTATTCCAGGGTGATACATATTTGGGGAGATGCTTCTTGGGTGTGCCTATTCGTTGATTCAGTAATCACCAATATCTGTAGCCCAGGATGTATGATGAGTTCCTGGGGTCATCCTAAACCCCACATGAACTGAACTGTTGACTTGGAATGATCTTCTGAATGGCCAGGGAGACATTTAATCACATAGTCTCAATGCTGGGGCCACAGATAGGGAGGCAGGAGACTGTCATGCATCAGCCCATGGCACCAAACAAGAGGGTGCCCATGGCCATCATGAAACTGGCCACCTTTGTCAGCCTCCACTGCATCGTGAACCAGTTTGGCATGGCTCCCTGCATGGCTGAGTTGGTGACTCATGAAGTATGGCAAGTGCTGCAGGATGCCATGGCAAACAACTTTATTTGCCTCAATAACCCCATGGAAGTTATTGAAGGCTCCAAGGCCATGCAGTTCCCTAACTGTGGGTGCATTGCACAGCACCCACTTCCCTGTGCTATCCTCATCTCAGGCAAACCACTCATTCACAAACAGGAAGAGATTTGCCTTGGTGAACCTGCAAGCCATGGTGGATCACTAGGGCCATTTCACTAGTGTTTATACAGGCTGGGTAGGAAATGCACATGATGCATGTGTGTTTAGAAACTTGCTGCTGTCTGGCTTGATGGAGAAAGGACAATATGTGGCCAGGGTTCCCAATAGAGCGACCCATGATGTTGCCATCTCCCCGCTTATCATAGCAAACACAGCTTACCCCCTCCAGTCCTGGCTCATAAAGCCATATGGAGGACATATTACTGACCCACAAAAGATGGCTTTCAAATACCATCTGAAGAAATGCAGGATGGATGTTGAATGTGCTTTTGGTTGCATCAAAGCTGGGTGGAGGTCACTGAACTACAGGCTGGAGTTGGAGTCAGAAAATATAATGGCTTTTATAGTGGCAGCCTGTGTGCTCCACTATATTTGCAAAAGCAGTGAAAGGTTTTTAGTGAGTCATGGGCTGTTGAATCACGGGAGGCAGTTGGCAGACAGAGACATGGGTAGGTAGTGCACAGCACCCCATGACATCAGTATGGAGATGCTGGTCAGGTGGCTGTTGTGTGGGATTGCCTGGCTTCACATATTATGGACACTGTTGATGGAGTCAATTCTCTTTAGGCTGATGGATATGTTCCCGATACCTGCAGCTGAGTGTTGCTTCAAATAAACATAAACTTTTCATTGTAACACAAAACTGTCTCTTCAATACATTGTCTGTAGTGGCAGGGAGAAGAAAGCAGAAACAGTGGGTGGTAGGCAGGAGTTTTCCTGTGGGCAGCTGTGGCTTCCTGTGGTTACCTGAACTATGAATAGCTGGCCACCACTGTTTAAAAGTTACCTGAAATGGAGAAAACTGGCTCTCCAGTATACCAGAAAAATAAAATTGATTAATTCTTTTTGAGGGAAAGTACCAACAGTTCTTTCCAACTGAATTTTTAAAACAATATTTTGCAATGTCATAGGACATATCTGAATCCAAACAAAAACAAATTTCTAAGTATAAGAAATCCTTTTAAATGGAAATTTAGAATTTTGACCCATTCTGCTTCAGAGCCCTCTCTTTGTAAAGAAAGTATGACTCAGTCTCAAATACATTTTTTTCATCATAGTTAATTAGGTTTTATTAATATATTCAAAAAGCAATTCTTAGTTTAGGAATAAACCTAAATTATAGCTATTATGTTGTTGGATAATTGAAACTAAATTACTTCTTAATAGTTGAGAAAGTAAATAACTTATAACTGAAAATTAGTTCAGTTTAAGTGTGAAGACAGGTGTGATTTCCAGTTATGGCCTTCATTTCTATGGCAATGAATGAATAACTTCTTATCATGGTTTACTGATAGTCTGCAAAATTTTTACTGAGACATGAATTTTTTTTACTGACACATTCTCCATGTGTAACTGAAACCTTTTTGCCAGAACCTGGATAAGGGCTGGGTTCAAATTTGGAATTTAAAAGCAATCATAGTAAAAAATTTGGTTGTCGGTAAAAAGTTTGCAGATTCTCAATTTTAAAAAAATTTGTTTTGGCAATGATTTTACACTATTGTGCTCCAGGGCTCCCCTACTCACCCCCACACCTTGATGACAATGACCACACCCTATGCCACTGCACCTCCAGTTAACCCCCAAGCCTTATCCCTGCTGGTCCCACTCTCCCTGTCTAGCACAGACCCTACAGAGAAGAACACCTGTCTGCCTACCTGCCACCCAGAATCATTACAGACAGATGGGATGCAGCACCAGCATATGGTTAGGACTGGGGGAAGAACTAAAGAGTTCCGTGACTCTCAAAGCTGTAATAAGAACTTCCTTTACGGAGCAGTACTCCTGCTCAGATGCCAGGTGGTGTGCTCTGTCTGTACTTCAACACTGCCACCAACTTCTTTCCCACCACAGAGTTTCAATTAAGCTCCGGTGGTTTAGAGTTCAATTTTGCTACAGATTTTATAGACAGGTAATTTTAGTCTGGTTATTTAGTGTGTGTTGGTAACCTTATGGACAATTGACAACTCCACTTCTCATAGTATGACTGGATAAGCAGCAAGTCATGATTTATTTACATTAAGGTTCAGAGCGAATTAGTAAAGCAAATGTTTAGATGTTTTATTTCAAAAGTAACTGTGGCCAAGGACTAGAATGTGCCCTATTACATCGAAAATCTGTGTGTCCATTTCAGTGACATGTAAAACAAATGTGATGATGGCACAAAACAAGGACTAGGGTGGACTTTCAAGCAGCATTTTAAAATGTAGATGGGGTTCAGAAATTGTGCATGCATTCTGCATATGCAAAATTTAATTATACTAAATCTAGAAGAAATGCTTAGGAAATTTACCAGTATACATCATCCAAGTACACATTGAAAACTGAGTACAATTTTTATTTGTTTTTACTGTGAATCAAGATACTCTGCAGACGGGACATCGGTCTAAGGGAATAGGAAATAAAACTTCTGATAAAGCTCTGAATTAATTATGAGTCTCATCTTTATGGAGGAGGAGCAAGGAAGAGATCTATATCATTTAAAGCTTTTCTGAGGCACAAAACCTAGTTAGTAGTAAATTATTCAGAGAGCTATAACAGAGGCTTAAAATGTGAAACATAAGTGGCATGACCTCATCATGGTGAAACCACCTATGTTTGCCCTGTACTGCCAGATCGAAAGAAAAAACACTTCATTTGGACCCTTGAGGTTAGGGATTCTAATTATCAGTGAATATGCTGGTTGTTGACTGTCTGCTTTCCAGAAGTTTATCCAGTGCTTCTAATCTGTAAAGCAAAGCCTTATCAACTGAATGTGTAACAAGAGGGCTGACAACGAAACTGTCTAAATAATATTAAGGCAATTATCTGTTTAATTTTCATTACATATCTATAATATCATGATGACCATTTTGGTCTATCCATGTGTGACATTCAAGAAAAAAAACCTTATTAGGAAATTTATTTCTTTTGAACCCAATTGTAGATACTGGAAACTTCTTCAAAGGTATGAAAAAAGTATGGTGGGAGTAGAATGAATAATCTTTTCCTTCTGCTTTCCTATGAAGGTAACCCACATTAAATGAGGTTTAAGGAAACTAACTTTCAGTTAAAAAGGATACACAAATAAATGTTAAGAACATTTAAAATAGCATACTACCAACAAAACAGGTATGTTTATAATGTGCTTTCACTAGCTCATAGTTTGTAACACAGCACTTATGTTGTGCTTAATAGGTCCAAAAGCAAGAAGATTAAACACTTGGTATAGGCTCTTCAAAGGATTTTGAAACCTGAGTGGTTTAACAAAAAATTTGAAGTTAATGGTTTATTGCATGTGGATTCCTGTGTTTGAACGAGAATTGTGTTCTTCCTAAGCTGCTTAACTATACAGATACTCAAGTTCAGATGTTCTTAGTTAAACCTAATAAAGGAATTTCCTTGTAGGATATCTTTCTGTGTACTCACCACTGCACAAAATACTTCTGCTGTCAATAATCACATGTTCTGACATCTGGGAAGGTATCTTCATTTGTAGCTATTTTAAATTTTTGTTTAGGATCTGCCATGCAACCTGTTGGCTTTCTGAAACACCCATAACCTATACAAGAAAATGACAACAAAATACAGCTGTACAAAATACAGCTAGAGAATGTTCAGTCCATTAATGCCATAGATGAAGCGTTGCTTTTGATAAAGAGCCAAGAAAATACAAGACTTATACTGTGTCTAAAAAAATACTTACATGATTTCAGAGCAGGTCAAAGCAGGACTGTGTGGCAGCATATGTGCTGTTAACATTCTTTGGTTTATTATAATAAAATCAATAGGCTGGGGGTGCTGTAATATCTATAAGCTGCATTTTTTTATTTAGGGTGCTGCGATCAGAAAATGTAACTGATAAACTTGCTATGGCAATCGAGTACTGTTTTGGATGCTTTATACAAGTTGTTTGGTTTGGGTGAAGCGGCTTCATCATCCTTCAGTCTCTGAATAGTTAGAAACTGAATAATCATGTAGGTCCAATGAAAACATCTTTGCAGAATGCTGGAGGTCCATAGTTAGAATCCCCTCTTGAAATCAAAACAATAGCTCAAATGAAAAATAAGAAAAATGTTTTTTTAAATAAATAAGAATGATTGTGTTTATCATGACAAGCACATGTTTGGGGGTGATGGCTATAAGCTGTTGGAAGTATCAGCTGTAAGATACAATTCAAATGCATTGGTCAATAGGGCTGTGTGAAGCTGTAGCAAAACCCCAGTTTTACTTTGTTGTTGTTGTTGTTGTATTTATTTTAAAATGCATTCCCTCCCCTTCCCCAACCATTTCTGACCTATTCTCTCCCTCTCTTTTCCGTATAGATAAGTATAAGTAAGCTAAGATGTAGGATAAGGTTTAAACATTTTTATTTTGGTAGCAAGTTTTTGGTTTTGGATATCCACTGTTGTATATTGTATTATTATTAGGTTTGTATTGATTTTTACTGTTGTATATTGTATCATTATAATTTTTGTATTGATTTTTATTGTTTCATATGGATAGTGTATGATTTAGGCCTGTGTTTGTAAGTGAACCAAAGTCATGTCAAGTTTCCATTTTATATGTCAAGCCTCCAGCTTGTGTCCTCTGCCTGGGCATCCCATGTTGCAACTGTATGAGTCATGTACCCCTCCTATGTAAATTGGTTCCCCAATGAATGAATGTGATTGGGAATGATTGAAATACAACAGTAGCAGGCCTCTACTGAATGGCCTGTAATGACTGGGCCATCACCTCGCATTGATTCACCCAGGAACCACAGACCTCACCCAGGAACAGAGACAAGACCAGCATTTGAAAGACAAAAGACCCTGCAAAACCAGCAACTCCCACCATTACAGACACCAGAAACTGCACATCCTTGCATGGAGCACACATGCTCAGTGCGCCAGGGGCTGACCCTTGCCTGGGCATGCCTCCTGTCACTAGGGTCACACAAAGTCTGCCCCTATAAAAAGAGGCCGTGAAGACAGGCCCAGTGGGAATGCCTTTTCCATCTGGACCAGCCCCATGCCACACCACCTATCCACCCAGAGGCCCTGTCGGCGACCCCATCTGGACAACACCTACTGGACCAAGGACTCCTTCCAGCCCGGGATAGGTAGACATTACCTGCACACCTCCTCCTCCAATTTGGACTCTCTCTCTGTCTCTCTCTCTCTCTCCTCCTGCACTTCAGTGGACTTCAGCCCCTGCACCAAGCTGCTTTAACCCCTGCTGCCACTGTGTGTGTGTGTGTGGGTGGGTGGGTGCAAGGGAACCAATTTGGCATTGTGTCACCATCTCCCCTGTTCAATAAAACCACTGTCACTTGCAACTGTGAGTTGGGCCATGTTTTACTGAATCCCAGTCCCTTCCTTATCTCAAATTCCAGCCTCATTCTCTCTCTTTCTCTCAATTCCAGCCCACACCCCTCTCCACTAGTTTCCTGATCTCCTCTCAATTCCTACTGCCTTTTCCCTGTGACTTTCTGCTGCCTTTCTCTGCTTTCCTACTGCCCCTGCTATCTCTCAGTCTCTTCTGCTGCTTTTCCTGTGATTTTCTGCTGTCCCCCTGCTTCCCAAGCTCCTACTGCCTTTTCCCTGTGACTTTCTGCTGCCTTTCTCTGCTTTCCTACTGCCCCTGCTATCTCTCAGTCTCTTCTGCTGCTTTTCCTGTGATTTTCTGCTGTCCCCCTGCTTCCCAAGCTCCTACTGCCTTTTCCCTGTGACTTTCTGCTCCCTTTCTCTGCTTTCTTTCTGCCCCTACCACCTTTCAGTCTCTCCTGCTGCTTTTTCTGTGATTTTTTTTGCTGTTGTTTTGCCTGAAACCATCTCTCTGGTTTCAGGCTCATCCCCCGCCCCTGCAGCTTCCCAGACTTCTCTAGCTGCCCCGGAGCCATCTTCTGGCTCCCCCACACCCAGAGCCTCTCTTTAACACCCACACTTTCCCTTAGTTCCACTTTCCCTCTCCAGCACCTACCTTTTCAGCTCCTCCGTAGCTCTGGCTCCAGTTCCAGACTCTGTGCTGGCATGCTTCCCTGTTCTGCAGGCCTTGGGAGTTGTCTTTTAATCAATTAAGATCAATTAACCTAAAGTTACCCCTGAGCCTCAGTTCTTCAGCCCAGGCCCCTGCAGTCTACTGGCTCTAATCCCGGTCCTGGTGACTTTAACTCCTTACACTTCTACTTTCTTACCTTAACCTTTCCCCAGGTATCCCAAGTACACAAAGCACATGCATACATACACATCACAACACCCAACTTAGAAACTCACCTGTGTGTATGTGTAGGTGGGTGGTATGTGTGTGAATTAGTAAATACACATATATATGTGCTTTCAACAGCACAAAGTGGCAAAAGCCTCCAGCAAGGCAGCAGCCCTCGACTTCAGGAGGGTGGACTTTAACGAGGTGAGAAAACTAGTGGGGGAAGTACTGAGGTCCCAGAGCAGGAGGGAGTTGAATGTCCAGGAGAAGTGGTCGTTCCTTAAGGAGATGATCCTCCAAGCTTAAAGGGAAGTAATCCCTACATGAGTCAAAGGGGGCAAGAGGGTGCAAAGGCACCCATGGCTCACCAAAAGCATCCGGGAAGGTCTCCAAACAAAAAAAGAGGTGTACACCCATTGGAAGGGAAGGGCCATCACAAGAGAGGGCTATACCTCAGTAGTTCGGGAATGTATGGGGGAGGTCAGGAAGGTCAAGGCGGAAATGGAGCTGGGAATAGCGACCCAGATCAAGGACAATAAGAAGTCCTTTCTCAAATACATAGGGAGGCAAAAGAAGGTGCCAGGTAATGTGGGGCCTCTGCAGGACACGCTAGGAAATCTGGTCATCTCACCTGATGGTAAAGCTGACATATTCAACAATTTCTTTGCCTCTGTATTTCTGAGGAGGGACCCGGATATCTCCCCCCCTGGCACCCCTGAGGGCCCTGTGGGTGGCACACCCAGGCCTAGGGTTAATGAGGACCTTGTCAGGGAACTTCTGGAAGGACTAGATGTATTTAAATCCTCAGGTCCTGATGATCTCCACCCAAGAGTGCTGAAGGAACTAGCAGGGGTCATTGCGGGACCTCTGGCACAGCTCTACGAGCACTCATGGCACTCAGGTGATGTGCCAGAGGACTGGAAAAGGGCCAATGTGGTCCCCATCTTCAAAAAAGGGAGGAAGGAGGACCCAGGAAACTATAGGCCTGTGAGTCTTACCTCGGTCCTGGGGAAGCTTTTCGAAAGAATTATCCTGCCACATGTCCAGGAAGGGCCAGCAGGGGAGGTTATGCTCAGGGGCAACCAGCATGGGTTCATTAGGGGCAGGTCTTGTCAAACCAACCTGGTGGCCTTCTATGACTAGGTTACCAAGTCCTTGGATGCAGGTGTCGCAGTGGATATAGTCTTTCTGGACTTCAGGAAGACCTTCGACACGGTCTCTCACCCCATTCTCAGTAAGAAACTAGGAGACAGTGGTGTTGATGCCTACACGGTCAGATGGGTCACTAACTGGCTGGTGGGCCGCACCCAGAGGGTGGTGATGGATAGGTTTTATTCGACCTGGAGGGATGTGGGCAGTGGGGTTCCCCAGGGCTTGGTCCTTGGGCCCACACTATTCAACATCTTCATCACTGACTTGGGCAAGACTGACAAGTGCAGGGTAATGCACCTGGGGAGGAAGAACCAGTGGCAAACCTACAGGCTGGGGAACTCCCTTTCCCACAGTGTTGAGACAGAAAAGGATCTTGGAGTCATCATTGATGCTGCAAGGAACATGGGCCGACAAAGTGGGGACATGGTCAGGTAAGGCCAACCATACCTTGTTGTGTATCCACAGATGCATCTCAAGCAGGTTCAAGGAGGTGATCCTCCCCCTCTATGTGACACTGGTCAGGCCGCAGCTGGAGTACTGTGTCCAGTTCTGGGCGCTGCACTTCACGAGGGATGTGGCCAATATGGAGAGGGTCCAAAGGAGGGCCACCCGCATGATCAGGGGTCAGCAGGGCAGGCCCTACGAGGAGAGGCTGAGGGACCTGAACCTGTTCAGCCTCCAAAAGAGAAGGCTGAGAGGGGATCTAGTGGCAGTCTACAAACTAGTCAAGGGGGACCAGCAGGCATTGGGAGAGTCCCTGTTCCCCCGAGCAGTCCTGGGAGTTACAAGAAACAACGGACACAAGCTAGCGGAGGGTAGTTTCAGGCTAGACATTAGGAGTCGCTGTTTCACCGTCAGGATGGCTAGGACCTGGAACCAACTTCCAAAAGAAGTGCTGCTGGCTCCTACCCTGGCAGTCTTTAAAAAAAGTCTGGATGAATATCTGGCCGGGGTTGTTTGACTCCAGTACTCTTTCCTGCCATGGCAGGGGGTCGGACTAGATGATCTCCTCAGGTCCCTTCTGACCCTACCAACTATGAAACTATGAAACTATATACACATACATAGATGATATTGTGTGTGTGTATGGTATATAAATTAGTAATCCACATATGTGTATTGGATGTGCAGGTGTTGGTAACTGGTAACTGATTCTGTCTAAATGTGGTGTGTGTAGCATGTATGGGCTTAAACTGGTAATAGGTGTGCATGAACCTAGACTGGTTATTTTGAACGTGTGTGTATCTGAGTTGCTAGTGTGAGTATGTGCATGTATGTATGTATGTATGTATGTGTGTATATATATATGGCATTGTGTGCATGATATACGAATTAGTGATCTGTGTCTAACTTTTGGGGTGTATAGTGTATGTGCTTGAATTGATGATAAGTATGCATGTGCCTAGGCTGGTTTGGATGTGTATATGCCTGAGCTGGTAGTGTGTGTGTGTAAGCACCTAATTGATTTGTGTGTGTTTTGTATATGTGCAATTGTGTTGCACCCTCCTGTCTAACAACACAATATTGAAATCCTGAGAGTTGGCCTGATCCCCCAGGGCAACAAAGATTTGGTCATTGATTCAATTTGGCAGAGATTCAGCCCAATTCAGTGGCAGAATCTCCAAATCCAAATCGAATCAGGAGACCCTTTAATCTCTCTGAATTGAACTGGAACCCTTCAAATTGATTTGGAGAGATTTAGAAATATTCGACGATTCAGACATAGACACAGGTTTAAATGTTTTTTCTACATACCTCAAGGTACCAGGCAGCTCATGAATGTTGAGGTGGTGGGGCAGATGAAGCATCCAACAGGAGCATGGTGGGGTACCCAGCGCACTTGGCAGCAGACCCAGAAGTGGACCAGAAGCACTTCCAGTCCATTTCCAGGTTCACCAGGGAGCACGCTGGGGGCCCGTCATGCCCTCCTGGCTCAGCAACTGGTGCCTCCTGGGTCTGGGGGGCACCTGGGGTCCCCCTGCAGCTGACTACTGATCTGGAGAGGGTATGGGGGGCCCACCCACATGCTCTGCAGTGGACATGAAAGTGAACCAGAAATACTTCTGGTCCACTTCTCGGTTTACTGCCAAGCACAAGTGCCCCCCCCTGTGGGACGCTCAATCCGCCTCACCATTGCAGCATTCACAAGCTGCATCTGGAACCTCCAGGTATGTAGAAAAAACTTTTAAAGCTTTGTCTATGGCCGAATTGCTGATTCTCTGAATCAGCATTGAAGCTTCAGATTTGGATTCAGCCGAATTGAATTGGGATAGTGATCCAAATCAACAAATTGAATCATTGTCCCTGATTTGGGTCAAATCCAAATCTGAATCTGAATTGAATAAGGCCTGTTTTGCACACCCTGACTGGTCAAACTGCTGTGTTCAATTACACTGGAGTAATATGGTAATTTTACTTTATTTTTTGCATTTAATTCAGAACACATTTAGAGAGATTCTTGTATTTATTGTAATATTTCTGAAGAACTTGAATTATGACAAAAGAAGATGACTTAAGCAAAAGACCATGTTGATTTCGGCTTTCACATTTCACAAGGAGCACAATATGTAGTTTCACTGCCCACTTGTAGTTGTTATTATATTTGTGTTACTTTTCTCTTGGTTCAGTTTGCTATTTCTAGGTGATTGGTTCTGCCTACAAGAGAAATTTTATTGTAATCTTATCCTTCAGTGTTGAGTTTACCTTGGCAGAAAAGTTTAATTGTACTAGATGTTTTTATATACCTTAGTACTTGTGCAGAAATGAGCTGGTCTATCAATCCTTCCACTTTATGTGGATCAGCTCTGTCATATTTAGGGTGGGAATTTCTGAAAGCTTAAATAAAACATATTTAAGACTTCACCCCAGACAAATCTTCATTTTAATATGAAAGAGAAGGCTTTCATCTTGATGTTTTTCTTGGGGAAAAAAGCATCCGATTTCCCTTATTACCCTTTGGAAGGTCCCCAAAACTTCCTGTTTTAAGTTAAACTGGCTGATAATACTGGCATATGCTAGCACTTTCCTAAATTCAGTGAAGGTATTTTCATTACATTCAAACTTCTCTAAACGGCATTAATCTGAATATGTGGTGATTTTCAAAGTAGCTGGAGGAAATAAATACTTGATCATTTTAACTATGGAAACCTCTCCTTGTTAAGGTAGAAATTTAAAACTTCATCAGAATATTAAAAGAATATAAATCCCCACCCACTGGAGTTAAGAGGCTGAGGTGCATTTATTTTTACAGCCTATTGCTTTGTCTTGTCAGCTTGAATATCACTCAGTATTAAGCTTTATTGTTGAAAGAATAGTGGTGCATTTTGGAAATACACAAGAATCAGGTGAGATTTTTATCTTTTCAAAGATAGCCTGAAGGGAGTTATCTAGTCCCATATCTGGCTAATGTAGTAACATTTTGTTGCTAGAATTAATGCAATTGTATTATGCCAGAGACATTTTAGGTTTCTTAAAAATATTTCTTAATTCAGCCTGACTCACTTCCATATAAGGAACACAAGTTCAAGTTATAGATGATTCAAATAATTACACTGTACAAAGTCAGCCCAGGTATATAAAGCTTGAGGGGATAACTACTTGCTTTAATGTGCCTAATGTTCTGTTAGTCTGCAGGACCATATGTGATAACCCAGAGCTATTCTGTGAGTCGTTTTTGGTTATTATTAGTGCCATTTAAGGAGAAAAAGGAAGTTTATCTTCATGGCAGTATAGATGGAGGTTTCCTGTGCTGTGCATGGATTTTTCTCAAATCCATAAAGACGAGACTTAAATATTACTGTGTGAAAGAGTAAACAGCGAAGCGGCAAAAGGAGCCGAGGGAATGCCGCTTCTGAAGCTATTACTATATAAGGATAGAAGCTCTGGGAGAAACAAAGAAAGAAGAGACAGGAGTCCAGAAGAAAAAGAAGAGATAACGGCTGAAAGAGAAAGAGGGGGAAAAAGAAGATCCCCAGGAGACAAGAAGCTTACCTCAGGATTTCTCTTTACACCGGAGAGACTGGAGCTCAGAGGAACAGGGGCGGATCCCCGAAGAGGCACACCACGAGACATGGCTGGCAGTTGTGATGAAAAGAAAACAAAAAAAAAAAGGGAAGAGTGAATTGATCCACTCCCACAAGCTTAGAGAAGGCATCTGAATGTTGACCACAAGGATTCAAGGCTTCAGACACACGCAAGATAAAAGGTACACACTTATGGTAACAGAAATAAAGAGAAAGAATACAACAAGGTTTGAAGAGAAAATTCTGCCCCAAAAAGAAATAAACAGACTAACCAGAGTTAGAGATTTCGTTTCCTAATACCAAGTTCAGCCCGACCGAACTGATAATAGTTATGCAAGAACAGTATATAGATAGAATTACAAAGTTGATATAACTGATAAGGTTAAAGAAAAAAAAGATGATGATAAATGGACCACTGCTGTTTAAAGATAAAGAAAGTTTGTATAGCATTATAAAGAATAAAAATAAAGACAAGTGTTAATCTGCGTCCGACTGTGAATATATACACACATCGGCGAGTGTGTGTGAACAGTCGAGAAGGCATGTGAAGTTTTCCTCTATAATACCGGGACTCCTAATAGAGATACCAATAAATAAATAAATAAATAAAACATATATAATAACCCTCTTGAAGAGTGACATCATAAATTAGAACATATTATAATAACTTCCAAGACGTGGCAGGTGGGAAAGTTGGGGTATTTATAGTTCTTTTGGGAGATTATAAGAGGATACAGAGAGGCATCGTAAGCTCCATCATCACATACTGGTACATACAGTTTGGGCTTAATCAAACTGAAAAAGTAAACTCAAGAAACTCAAGGGGTTAACTTGAAGGGGTGGATCTAACTGGGTCCAGTGGCACAGTTGCAACTTCTAGTCAATTTCTGCTGCCAGTGTAGGAAAGAGGGTTCTGGCTCCTTGGTGTGATGAATGGGAGTGGCCGTGAGGGAGCTAGTGCAACTACCACAGGATTTCTCCAACTCAGTGCTGGCTGTAGAGAGTGACTTCTGCTTTCTGCGCAGCCCGGAGTCAGAACTGGGGTGAGAATTTTGCCTGAACAACCTGGGAGCCATAGTGGCACTGTTACCTGATGCAGTTTGGGCTGCTTCCACTGTGATGTGGGCTGCTGCTGCTGGGGGACCCTAGTATATCTCATGGGGGAAAGCAGGGCATGAGCTCTGAGAGCCAAATGAGAGGGGATGCCAGACTGAAGATCTCACAGAGTAGGGAGCACTATGTATAGCCAATCCCTGAGTCACAACAGCTGGAGTCTGTACCACACTCTTATCATACTAGCACCAGCTGAAGTGCAGAGAGCTCGATGTGTGTTAGGTAACACTGCTGCTGATATCAAGCATTGAGACACTCCTGGAGCCCCTGGGCTTCTGGAGATACCTAGCGGAGTGAGACAGGGAGCAGATGGAGAAAGGGTGAGCACATCTGTCAATGTTCATAATTGATCCAGCAGCTGGGTGGGGGCCAGTGCCAGTCCTGCCCTGCTACAGTTTGGGGCTGTTGGGAGTGGCTGTGAAGGGTTTTGGGCACAGCTGGAACAGCAGCAGTTGTGCACAGCAAGGCTGGACAAAGGAGGGGTGTGGTTATGAAGTTAACACCCCTCACCCATTGATTCCTAGTCTACACAAAGTTTAAAACCAACTGTCTGGCAGTGGCAGCAGCAGTTTTATTCAGGCAGCAGTGAGGGAGTCAATTGACTTCATGGCTCATTATAAGCTAACTGATTTCTTAATTCCACAGGTATTAACAATCCTCTCTCCTTTTTAATGGTGTTGATGTTTCACCAAACTATACTTTCTTATGCAATTCTGCTGTCTCTTTGCTGATCCTGGTAAAGCAGTTCCTATTTCACAGCCCTGCAGACTTCAACAGTAGTTCAAAACATTAACTCAGGTGTGGAAATAACTTTCAGTGGAACACTGGATGCATTTTCCCAGATGTTCAAGAAGGCTAAATTGAATAATATAGCTTGGAATCCCTAGCTTATTAGTAAAGCTTCTAGTTTCTTTTTAACCAGAGAAAAATATATTGTGTTATATGTAATAAGCACACCATCTGTACCTACCCCCATCTTTTCAAAATCCTCAATCCCCTCATGGTGCACAGCATGTTCACTCTTGCTGCCCCTGCTCCTAGTCAGTGGAACAAAGAGGCTAGCATGGAGCAGGCCCAGGAGGGAAGAAACCTGTATGCTGCCACTGTTTTTTCCTGCCATGCCTGGCATCCCACACAGCTGATTATAGCAGCTGGAGCTCCTGGGCCAGCAGAGGACTGCCAAAAGGGCTGGACAGGGAGCAGAGCCTGTCCACTACTGCTACTGTCTCCTGCTTCACTTGGCACCCTGCACAGCAACTTCCTGCATCTGTGGCCCCCAGGCTGACAGGGCACACAGAGGGGTTGGGCAGGGACCAGCACAGGAAGGAGGGACCTGCTCTCCACTATGACTTGCTGACACTGGGGGTACCACAAAGTTTCTCCTGCCTCACTCCAGCCTTGGGCTGTTGGGAGTATCTGTACAGGAGCTGGGCTCTGCTGGAGACAACAGCAGCCATGGTGGATGGGTTCCTCTTCCCTGCCTTTTCTCCCTACCTTACCTCCCCTCATTCTGGTTTCCCCTGCTGGCCTGGTGACATCTTTCACACACCCCTTTTCCAAATCCTGTATCTGTCCCTGGCCTAGATGGAGTCTTGTACCTATGTTCAAGAGTGGTTCAAATGGTGCAGTAACCATGACACCATACAAGCTTTCAGTAATAAAAATTGGTCCTACCTTCAACCTAGCCTTCAAGGAATTATTTTTGCAATGAAAAAGCTGCCATTGGTCAGACTGTTAGGTTACAAGTTATCTCATATTTGACCTCTGTCTGATATACTGTACAAGCTTAATGAGAAATTATAGCTTTAAATTTGTAGAACTTGCATGCAACTATGATGTTGGCAGAGGGCAACAATGCTTTGCACTTTTGAAAATGGTTGTACTGTTTAGGTTTAGGATTACTTTAATGTAGATGTGCATTCTTGATGCACAAAGGTTTACTGCTGTTAGTTTGTCCAGATT